TAATAATAATAATAATAATAATAATACAATTGAATTCAATGCTTTATTTTTTATGTGCCGAGTCAACAGCCGCAAGGCCAATTACAGACAGAGCACAGGGTAGGTAAAGTAATTACATTATGGACAAACACAACATAATAATAATAATAATAATAATTTTAAAACAAAAGAATAATTTAGAAGTGAGCAAACTAAAATATAAACTTATACAGTAAATACAATTTTATTTCAGTTATTGAAATAAAATATTTTATGAAGAGCACGAATTATGAAGCGCCTCGTAATGCACTTTCCCGATCTTTTTTCTTACTTTCTCTGCCTTAGATTCAGAATTTTCCTCACCCGTCTGTTTACAGACACGTTCTATGTCTTCATCTAATGTGACAGACCAATTTTCACATCAACACAAAATATCAGGCATATTTTAGTTGTACATACAGCGATTTAAATATTTACTTAGTACACAGATTATTGATGGGAAAATAAATGGCCGTGGACGAAATTGTAGCAAGCATCCCCGAATATTTTCTTGCATAATCTCTTAATTTTAGAGTGGCGATTGCTGATTCAGTAAGACTGTGCCAGATATGGTGCATAAACCTTCCCCAGTCTCTTACGTTTATAAACAGGAAGGAAGAGTTAGCGAACCCTAAAACATGTGACTCATAAGCGGCAGACATTTGTCCTAGTGCCGGTTACAATCACAGACTTCTCATAGGTTTCCTCCGATCTTTCAATCGAAAGCTATTATATTGTGGCGCATATATCCAGTGCTAGGCAACGGCTCGGTAGACACATTCCCCACGTTACGCTCTCAACAATATAATGACATCTGTTAATGAGTACCGTGTCGCTAAACATGTTTCCTCAGCAAAAATAATAGTGGAACTTTTGGATTTGGTGGCCTCTACTCGGTCCTTCCCGCAGTTACAAAAGGAGAACACGTGAGAACGCCCAATCAGTTCAGAAGCTGTAAGAGAAGTCAGACAGGGAACGAGAATGGAGCGAGACCTCCGCAGATGTAGACTGAGTGTGAGCTGTTGTAATTGATTGTACTTAACAGCTACTGTAAAAGAAGGCGTCAATAAATCAAAATCATCAAATTCAGAACCCGATATTATTAGTCACGAAAAGCCGGACACGTGACAGTATCTTACAGCAGAACAGGTTCTCCTTCATAAGAGAAGTTGTCCCTGTGCGTAACTAATTAAGCACTACGCCATAAAGACGTATGGGGAGTGGATGTATGGATCCACATTTTCTTAACCTCAGCACTAGTTGGAGGTTAGTGGTCAGCTTCACGTCCCGACAGGTTTACCCCCGTGGAAAAAGCCCCAGGTAACCATTGAATAGGAAATTGTATGGAACTCAGAGCCGGTCTGGGAGATATGGAGAAGAGAAAATTCTTGACTTTATAAGGACTCGAACTCCGACCCCTCTGTCGTCCAGCCCGTAGCCAGTAGCTATACCGACGGTTAGTGGTCAGCTTCACGTCCCGACAGGTTTACCCCCGTGGAAAAAGCCCCAGGTAACCATTGAATAGGAAATTGTATGGAACTCAGAGCCAGTCTGGGAGATATGGAGAAGAGAAAATTCTTGACTTTATAAGGACTCGAACTCCGACCCCTCTGTCGTCCAGCCCGTGGCCAGTAGCTATACCGACGGTTAGTGGTCAGCTTCACGTCCCGACAGGTTTACCCCCGTGGAAAAAGCCCCAGGTAACCATTGAATAGGAAATTGTATGGAACTCAGAGCCAGTCTGGGAGATATGGAGACCCCTCTGTCGTCCAGCCCGTAGCCAGTAGCTATACCGACTGAGCTACGCCGGCAGTTCTCCCTCATAGCTATTTCTAAAAGTGTGGATATCAGTCTTACTTAATTCTGTCATATTTTATAGCCAAGGAAGCTTCATTCAGTGGCTTTCCATAAATTGCTGCTGCTTATGCCCTTGTTTCCCCAAGCATACAGTTATCTTCCC